ACTGTTGGACTATTTGCTCATGCAGTTAAAGTGGTGAACTGTGTCCCACCCTTGCTTGTGAATGACTGAGCCTTTTGCGATGCTGCTTTTATACCCAATCATGACGCTCACTTGTTTCCAATAGACATGTGGAATGTTCCAAACAGGTGTCTTTTGAGCATTCCTCAACTTTCCCAGTCTTTTGTTGCCCCTGTCCCAGCTCTTTTGAAACATGTTGCAGGCATCAAATTCAAAATGAGTGAATGTTTGAACATTAAATATCTTGTCTTAGTGGTGCATTCAATAAATAGGGGTCAAAAAGGATTTGCAAGTTAGTGTATTCTGTTATTATTTGTTTTACACAATGTCCCAACTTCATTGGAATTGGGGTTTGTCTTTTATTTTATGTTTTTTGCTGCAAAAACCTTATTTCACGTGAACCATTTCTCTGCATTCCTTTTGTCTTTTGCTGTATGTTAATATAATCTTATTTCTGGTTGTTTGTAAATACTTTGAAAAATGATGTTCGAAAGTATTTCTCATGTCACCAATATTGAGATGAATTACAGTTTACACTTTTATACAAACCATATGTGCAAATGAGTAAATGCATCTTCAAGTTTTTGCTTTACATTTCATTAATTCACAATAAATGAGACTGCAGTGTTAGTTTGGCCTGGCAGGAGGTGATGACAGGGGGTCAGAGGAAGCAGTGGAGCAGACACCATGGCAGGATCTGGTTCGGAGCAAGGTAGTGGCTGCACTGCTGGTTCATCCAAGGCAATGTTGGTGGGAGTGTCGGCACTGGTGGTCGGTGGTCGGTGGAGCAGGTGGAAAAGAGATGACAGCAAGAGTCTGGTTTTGGGCTGGGTTTAGGCTGCTCTGCTGCTTTAGTTTGGCTGTTAGTCTTACTCTCCTGGACAGCAGTGTTGGCAGGTCTGTGGGGGTCAGGAGAGCAGGTGGAGGAGAAGTAGCAGAGCCTGGTTCTCTGCTGGACTTCTTACTCGTATCACAATCCAGGATGCAAGCAGTGAGTGCTGGTTCAGCTGGAAGGCTCAGAGGAGGTGGTGGAGATGACATCACAGCTGCTGTACTACTAATAATAATTTATAATAATTTATTGTTATACTGGTGCCTGTAGGCACCAGTATAACAACACTGCAAAAAATTAAGTGCCAAAAGCCAGTCTGAATACGTGAGCCTTTAATTTAGAATTAAAAACCATTAACTCCGTTATAGACCGAAGCTCAGGGGGCAAGGTATTCCAGAGCTTGGGGGCATATACGCCAAAAGAACGATCACCCTACAGAGACAAGTGTTCAGAGGAACGCAGCACTCTGACCGGGGTATGAATGGTTTAAAGATCAGACAAATAGGCTTGAGCAAGGCCATTAATGGCCTGGAACACAAACAGCAAAATTTTAAAATCAATACTCAACTGTACCGGAAGCCAGTGAAGAGACTGGAGGACAGGGGTGATGTGAGCATACTTTGGGGTATTTGACAGTAGGCGAGCAGCCGCATTCTGTACTAGCTGGAGCCTACAGAGGAGAGACTAATTCCAGTTTAGAGGGTATTGCAGTAATCAAGTTGTGAGCTATTGAAAGCATGAATGGCTTTTTCTAGGTTGACTTGAGATAAAAAGGGGTTCACCTTTGCTAGGAGCCTCAGTTGAAAGAAGCTTATTTTGACCACAGAACTAATCTGTGTGTCAAATTTGAGGCTGCTGTCAAATAACACTCCTAGGTTTTTCACAGTTTGAGTGAATAAAGGGGCTGAAGCTCCTAGGCCGGGTGCGATCTGAGTGGGGTCCGGGCTAAAGGCGATGTATTCAGTCTTCCCCTCATTCAAATGAAGGAAATTCTGTGCGAGCCACTGTTTAACACCTGTGCAAGGGGGCTAGTGCATTGGCACTAGTACTGGTTTATCCAAGCTCTGACGTTCAGTGATGAAGCTGGTAAAGGAGTAATGACAGCAGAGTCTAGTTCTCTGATTGGGTCAGTGTTGTCCTCTCCTCCTCTAGACCAGGCTCCTCATCCACATCTCAGCAGGACTGGGTCTGGCCTCTGCACCATCCACTGTGTCTGCTGGCTGGGAAAAGGTGTTTGTTTTGTGTGGATTTGCAGTATGAGGCTCAGACAGCACACAGATCTCCTCCACTGCTGATTCACTCTTTTAAGGCAGCATGTGAACTTATATTTTTAAGTTGAAATAGTCTGAAATGATTTACATTGTAGTTAATATATCAGTTGGAAGTGTTTATACATTTACAGTATACATGTCTTGGAGTTATAAATGATTCACTTTCACTCCACCATCTCTTGTTGTGTGTGTGTGTGTGTGTGTGTGTGTGTGTGTGTGTGTGTGTGTGTGCGTGTGTGTGTGGGACACACCACTCCATGTGGCAGCTGCTCTGAACCATAAGAAGACAGTACGTCTGCTGTTGGAGGCAGGCGCAGACAGCCGCACCTGCAACAATGTGAGTGCCTGCGGCCTCCTTTTACCTCACTAATCCTCAAAAGTTTTGGGCCTTTCTTCATCTTCAAGTCAGCACACATTTCTGTTGTTACCAGTCTCCTCTTAAAGAATTCTTACAGCAGCACACTGTCCCAACCTCCTGTAGGTAATGTAAATGTACTGTAGCTTACTACATTCACATTATCTGCAGAAATAACCAAAATCCAGTAAAGCAGTTCCAAATCCCCCTGCCACTGCAGTAAAGCATTTGCTGCTGTGGTAGAATTTGTGGTAATTACTTTTGTATGTTTTAGTTATGTTTTCATTGTTTCTGCAGGCAGGTGAAACAGCTTTGGACCAGGCCAGAGAACACAACAACCCAGATGTGGCACTCCTCCTAACCAAAGCTCCTCAGGTTAACCCATTTACTCCCAGTCTGCCCACTACAGGCAGCTATTAAAAAAAACTCGTACTCAGAGATGCATATTTGTGCAAAACGAATGCAGAAGAAAACAAGCCAGTATGCGCATACTGTACATACGCAGTCATGAAGGTGGAGATCTTTTTGTGATTCCCCCGATCTAGTTCAGCCTGACGTCCAGGATGTCAGCTGTAGCCAGGTGTCCCACCTCTGTCGTAGACATGGGGCTCCTGCTGTGGCACTTCCCTTTATCGTTTTTCAGCCTTTTCCCTCATTATTGGGTTGCCATTTAAAAGGTGGCAACACCTTTACTCTTATCAAAATGTGACTTTCAATGAGGGTCATCTTTGCCCACCATCACTGGGCTACTGCATTCAGCTGTTTCTATTTTTAGGGTTGGTCCTGCATTTTTTTCTCTGATGCCTTTTTATGCGCTTTTCTTGTTCATTCTATGGATTCCCTCTGTCCGCCCAACCAGTCGGGGCAGAAGGCTGGCCACCAAGATCCTGGTTCTGTCTGAGCTGTTTTTCTTGTCACAGGGAGTTTTTCTTCTCCACTGTTGCCAAGTGCTTCCTCAAGGGGGATTTCTTGGGTTTTTCTCTATAATACTGTAAGGTCTGCACCTTACTATGTAAAGTGCCTTGAGATGATTTTTGTTATAATTTGGTGCTGTGGCATAGCCACCAGTGTGCCAGTGTCACCCACAGAGGAAACTGGCACACCCACATGCCATATGTAGTGTTTTGTTTAAAATTATGCTTGTAGAGGGCTAATTTAAATAACTAATAATAATTTATATGCTCATGTTATTTGGTTTTTGTCCATTTGTGGTCTGAGGATCCTCGCTTGACAGTTTAATGCTGATATAATATTGTATTTGGCAGTTCATGTAAAGAGAGTTTTACTGTGAATTCTGATCATATCATTTATAGCCACTTTGTAATGTGGCAGACCTGCACATATCATGCAATACATAATGTACCATTGAGAACAATACGGAATGGAATATGGAATGGGTGACAGGATAAGAAATTTCTAATCATCTCCATGAGGCCAAAGTTACATTTCATAGAACATTTCCTTCCCTCACAAGCCAGCACCCTTACAGACATGAGATGTGATCACAGTGAACTGTCACTGTATGTATTACAAAGGCGCCAGTGCACATTTGGATTCAGCCTAAGTATCCCAGTGAACCATGTTGCACAATACCAGGACTCCAGTACCAGGAAGTAGCTCAACTAACTGGAATGCTGTCATTGTTATTGATTTCAGTTGCATCTGTGACCTGTCCTGCTATAAGAAGCCAACATATCTGTCATGAAAATGGTCTATACAGAACAATTTTAAAAGGAAACATCAATAGATAGAAATCACTTATTACCTTATTAGCTATCTCTGGTGTTTGGTGTGTATAAAAATAGTTGCTTAGCCTCAGGGATCAATAATCTGCTGTCTTATTTTATTTATTAATCATGCATTATAATTCGAGTTATGACTGCAGACATTTGATCTCTGTCCTCTGTGTGTGTGTGTGTGTGTGTGTGTTCAGGTGCAGAGCTTTTTGCGTGGCAGGAGTGTGGGAAAGAGGAGAGACAAGCTGAAGGCAGAGGGCCGAGCTCAGTCAGTGCCCAGAGAGGAGATGCTGCCCTTTAAGGTATAAACTGTACTGCTGTGTTAGGGCAGTTGTATATTAGCAATTGTACATGTAACCAGAATTCACATCCATATTTTAAATAAAAGAAAGCAAGGAAGAAAGTGGAAAAACAAATTGGAATGAGAAGGCCTCCAGAGTAATGATGAAAGTTGGGAGAGATGAGTGAGAATGCTTAAATGAAGAGATATAAAAGATTTGATCCAGTTTCCAGTAGTAAAGTGCATAAGTAAGACACAGAGTTACAGAGGACAGACTGTCTTAACCAGAATCCAAACTTTATCTCAGCTGTATAAAGGGAAAAAAGTCCAAATGAACAACCCCGGGACTCCAGCATGTCTTTGTACCCTCTCAAAGATGTTACACACTTAATGTTTAAAAAAGAAACAGCAGATTGACAAGTTGTATTATCGAATTCCCTTACTGTATGTGAATGATGGAAACATTTGGAAATAAGCAATCTGGCATTGTCTACTTCTAGTCAGTAGCACAAAACAAATTTATAGAAAACCTTAAAATCTTCTACTTTTAGATTTTTTTAATGTCCTGAGTGCTTAAACAAATAAACCTAACCTTCCCCTCTTCCCGTTTCCTACAGGACAATGCATCTGCTGCAGATGATACCCAGAGCAGTGATCGAGCTGCCTGCAAACACACTGAGGTGGCCGAGTCAAATGCCAGGAAGGGAAAGAACAGGAAGCAGAAAGAAAAGGTAGGTCCCTGAATTTAACAAAAGAGAACCTGAAGGTACAGTGAAGCTCTGAACAGGGTATGACGGTGTGTCTTCCCTTTCTGTTAATGTCAGAAAGAGGAGCTGGTATAATTGCTAATCTCAGTTGCTGTTGCTATTGCAGCTGTTTTTGTCTGACCCCCTCCACCGCCGCCGAGAGACCAGACACAGTGAATCCTTTCAAAAGAGAAAAGATAAACTGCAAGGAGCCTCTCCTTATGCCTCCATCCCTCCACACAACTTTAAAGCCTATCAGCTCTACACATTGTACCGGGGCAAGGATGGAAAGATCATGCAGGTACTGTAAGTACACATACACTTTATGTTGAGTCAGAGTAAAGAATGGTTTTCACATAGTGACCCCGGTTTTGTAAATTCACTCTTTGTGTCCAGTTCTTGTATATGGATGAGTTTGTCTATAACAGCTGCAAGAAATTAAGGGGTATATAGTATATCCTGAGCCCTCTGCAAAAAAAAAATACTGTCAATCAAAAGTGCAAAAGGACAAGTGAAATGAATAAATGAGCAAGTGAGTTTTAGATTTATTTTGGAGATGGAATGCAAGACCTAAAAACAGATAAAATGACTGAGAAGCAGTGAGCGATTTTTCCAGGTAGTTATCAGTTATGAAAAACACCAGGGTATAAGCAAGTTGAGTTTTGTGAAATACTTGCATGCACCTCTTCTGTTGCAGTTGGCTTCCAAAAACAAAAGCAAAACAAAGTTGTTTTAAATTTGTGTTGTGTTGATGGATTAAAAGCTAATGAATGAATGGGCCAGAGCCTGGATTTGGATAGGATACAAAGGAGGAGTTATTGGCTTTTTTGTCCTTTTGTAAGAAACTTTATAGTTTAGGTTTTGTTTGATCTCCCAGAGGATCCAGTCACAAGGATGCAGAGCCCTACTAGGGGCTGTCAGTGTTTGAAAGTTGATGCACTTCTGACTGAAATTGTTCTTTTTAATGTACCTGAATATTTTGAAATTTCAGATTTAAAGTAACCAAATGATACTAAATATGACAAACATGACAGTCATGACTAAAAACTTGCTGCTACACTTCCTGGCACTTCTGGGAGTTACTGCTGGTCTTGTGGAGAAATCCAATCTGACAGACACCCCTCTCCTGCTCTTTTAACTGACCTTCCCCTACACCAATGTGTGTTAAAACATTTAACGCAAACTTCTAAAGTACGACTAAAGGGTTTTGAATTAAAAAGCTAAACCTGTTGGTGAGGGTCTGTTGGGACTCATCTTCCTGGTGTGTCCTGCATTGGTGGAAGTAGTCTGTCCCTGTCAGCGGTTTTTCGGCTGATCTGACATGTTGAATTGGCGTTAGAGAGAGAGAGACCGTTCTGATTAGCTGTTGAGCTTAGCAAATCTGTGCATGAGAAGAGAAATGTTTGGGAAAGCCCCTTCAGCCTGTTGCTGTAGTGTCTATGACTTTACCCATTTAGTGTGGTTTTTCCTTGCTTTTCACCCCCACAACCTCCTCTCTTTTTCCACCACCAAAATACCAGTGGCAGAGAACAGCAGTGTCATTTGCACCTTCTTATCAGACATATTCTCAATTAGAAGCAGCACATGCTAGTCAATCTGTGCGGTGTGTTCAGGTGTCACTTTTTCAATCCAACTGGCCCAGACAAAGACGAGGTGATGCGACACAGAGGTTGGCCTTCATTGGTGCTGGTTCTTTCATATTGGCTTGGTGTGTCTCTGCCGTAAGGACTACAAATGTCTACAAATTATAACAGACATTTCCCCCTTTGTTGTGCTGACAATATCAGATATGCTTTTCATCATATTACTAATAAAAATTGGTCAAACAAATCAACTTACTGTAAATGAAACTATTCCTGAAAACTGGATCTCAGAACAAACTGATATAAACCACTCCTTACCGCTCTGCCCCTCCAGTCATGTTCTGATTATAGTATGAAAGCCTGGTTGCAACAAACTGTACAACATGCAGCCTCCCGTCCAAAGCCAGCTAGTGTGACACAGAACACTAATGTATAATCAATCAATACAAAATAAAATCAGGACCATGCCAGGTTGCTAATGTTCCCAAAACCAACACATTAGCTTTAGATGCCAACACATCCAGAAGGAAGAACACCACATCTGAATCAAATCTGAATTCTTTGGCTGCTTTTAACCGACTCCATCTTTTGCACTCTCTGTGCAAAGCAATGTGACCTCTTCCCCTAATTTGTTGAGAGGTCCTTCATGACCGGGTATCTGAAATGACTACCTGTAGTTAAAAAGTGCTTTTTATACTATTTGCCAGGTAGCCGGTGGAGCGAATTTATGGACAGTACTTTGAAAACAAAGTTGGAATAATAACAGAAGGGCTGTAGGTTTTAGTGTGTCATGGATGGGGGTATTATAGTGGAGAAACACCACGCCCTGACCCATTTTCACTGGATTTATCAGAAAGTGTGTAAAATCTTTAAATGCACCTTTAAAAATGTTTAAATATTTAGAAATGTGGTTTCAAACATTTTCTGTCTAGGCCCTCTTTGGCACAAAGATATTTTACCATCATATTTATGAAAAACTACCACTTTTTTCTGCAAGGAAGGCTAAAATATGAGGAAATGATTAATTCTATTAACCATGTAAATGTTGTCACCTTAAACAAAATGTTTTTTGTCAAATGACAAGTTTTTTTTTGCTGTACCAGATTAAACCCTACTGTACTAAGTACTGTACATGACTGGACTACCATTAAAGTTTAAGAAAAATACAAATTCAAGTAGAAGGACTCTGAGGGAAACAAAGGGAAACCTGTGGTTAAACTAAAAACAAAACAGAAAATCAGCCTGTTTGTTGTTATTGCGACTGAACAGAGAGCTTCACTGAACTGGCCATCTCACTCTTTCACCAGCACCCTCTCACTGTGTGCATGATTATTGGATTTTTTTCCATATTGTGCAACCCAACAAGAAAATGTTGTAACATGCATAGTGCATCAACCCAAACATTCAGTTTCTAGCTTGACCTTTTTTCTGTCATTTTTCTAGCACAACCCTCACAGTGTGTGACTGCTGACTTTGTTTCAGGCCCCTCTGAATGGCTGCCGCTGTGAACCTCTCATCAGTAAACTGGAGAACCAGCTGGAGGCCACTAAGGAGGAGATGAAGACTGAGATTCACACTGTCCAAGACCTGATGAACACCAAGATGGGCCAGCTGGAACGCAAGAACAAACACCAGGTAGCATCCTGCAGCTCATTTTACCTGCTATACAGAAGATAGAAGTCATTTGATCTGAATTGTGCTTTTTCTCATACTGAACTCTTGTAAGTTCAAAAAACCCAGTCTGTGGTATTTTTATCTAACAGATTAATCATTTGGGACTGTCCAAAAATATTCCAAACGAGGCATATCTGGACTAGAAGTAAACTGATTTTATAAATTGTTTTATCCTTAACCCCGTAAAGCCCAACATATCAAAAAATAGCCAGAACATTCTAATTTTTT